ATAAAACATTATAAAAGTCAAATTTCTAAAATTTAAATAATATACATATGCTAAAAATCAAATATTTTTTATTTTAAAAATAAAATTAGAGAAAATAGAAAAAAAGATCTAAATAAGGAAATTTTTGTAAATTAATATCTCTATAAATTAATAAATTTTCAAAGTCCCGACATTATTAATTTATAGAGGTTTTACTGTAGTAGGGACTAGAGTTCAATAGATAAGGTCAGGAATGCGAAATAATGGCAGACACATGAGTTATTGAGTACGATGACCCACGGGCACACGGTACACATTCACCCCGGCCATAGACACATATGGCTTAAATGGGATATTGGACCCACATGTTTAGTTTCTTCACATTTACAAGAATCGTATACATGGATCTTGGCAAAGGCCCATCAAGAAAATAAAGAAAAACCCAAAGACGATTTGGTATATGGTTTAGATGAGTTCCTCACTATCCTTCTTGAATTAAATCCTATACTACTAAGAAGTTTCTTTTTCTTAATCTACTACTAGATTTTGACCCGCCCTTCGAAAGGGCGGGTATATTTTTGTTGTAAGTTTGGCTTGAAAAACTTAATTTTTAATTTTAATTTGGGTAACTATATTAAATATGTTAAGTTGCATAATTATACATTTACGTCATATGAATTTCAAAAATTATTTTAAAAATTTTAAAATATTATATTTTCATAAAAGTTATCTAACTATAACAGTTCTAGTTGTTGACAGAAAGGTAACGGTTTATATTAACTAATTTGCAGGAAGAAAGATAAATGACCAATTGATAAATGATAATTAGTCCAACAATTTATATCAATTTGGTGACCTACTTAAAAATAACCAAATCTTTTATAATTTCACCTGAATATATCAAGACTATAACCATGTTCAACATTTGAATGATATATTTCAATAATATAATCAGTTATGTCCTACATATTAGTTAAAATAAACAGTTATCTTTAAAATTGACATGTATAGTTACCAAAAATTATACTAAATTAAATTAATATTGAACATAAATAGGATTGAAAAATATAATATTAAAATTAAATTTTTCAAAAAAATAAAAAAATATACCCGTTCTTTGAAATGATGGGTCAGAATCTAGTATATAGATAAAACTATTTATTTTCATTATAAAAATTTGTGAAAATAATATTAATTACTTTTTCTCCATAGATTTATTTTTATAGAAGTGTAAAAGGTATTTCTTTGTGCCATACATGATAGTTGTGAAGTTTTAATTCTTATATTTTTTATAATTTAGTTGTATATATAAATGATTTAAATAGAATTATTACACATAATAATTGGTCACAAAAAAATTCTCAAAAAATTAAAAGAAAAATATACTCACCGTTTGAAAGGACGAATCAAAATCTAGTATTTAGATAAATTATATGTTTTATGTTAAAAGATTGTGAAAATATTATTATTTACTTTTCTCTCAATAGATTTAATGATGTGTAAATCGTATATATTTGTGCCATACATGATAGTTGTGAATTTTTAAGTCTTATATGATTTATATGATTTTATGATTATTTGTATCATGTTATAACAAAAAGTTAAATCATTAAAAGAACAGGTCAAAATTTAGTATTTAGACAAAATTATATGTTGTACATTATAAAATTTTTGAAATAATAGTATTTACTTTTTTCTCAATAGTTTTATTTATTTAGAAATGTCGAAAGTATTTATTTGTGCCATACATGATAGTTTTGAAGTTTTAAGTCTTATCTATTTTTTCATGATTTAGTTTTATATATAAATGATTTACAGAAAGTGATTACACATAATAATTCTTCATAAATTAAAAATGGGTTACAAAAGATTTGATCCGATGTAATTGATTAATTGAAAAGACCCACAAAGTTATTGCAAAATTTTAAAGTTAATGGGTCTCGTTCAAGAGATTCTGTGGGCATTTTTAAATTTAAAGCCTTTCACCGTTTTGCACGGGAATGTAACTGATAAATTGATCATGGTTTAGGTTTGCAGTTTAATTAAATTAGATATAATTATACATTCTAATTAGTCAATAGATAAATAGATGGTTGGACACAACCTTTATCAATAGGTCACACTGCTGTTTTAATAGAATAGATACTAAGAAGTATTAACAATGTTTTAATACAGGCGGTTAAAGTTATGGCTAGCGTTTAGGTTTTACAACGTTTAGATTTTAGCCCTGTTCTTTTAATTGTCGCTGTGGCCGGTAGTTGCGTCAAAAAAATCCCTATAACAACAGCAAATAGATCGAGTTTGAAAACTAAATCTGACGCAACAAGTTGACGGAGACACAATTAGCGGAGATCGCTAACACTGCTATCTTTCAGCGTCAAGTTTAATTATTATTTTTGCCGCAGCGTCTGGGAAAACAAATCGGTTTTGTCTCGCCAAATATATTTGCCATGGAAATAAGTGTAAGTTTTGAACGCTGATCCTGATTGCAGCGTTTGTAAAATGAACAGGGCTATAATATAAAATTTAATTTAGATGTATGAACAAGGTTTGATAAACACGAGAGTTTTCAAAACTTGTGAACGAAGTACCAAAAGGTGAGTTTTCAAAACTCACAATAGCAATTCAGGAATAAATTTTCAGTGCTACCAAATTAAATTCGTAATATTTTTTTTTACTTTTACTTTTTTATTATATAAGTACTAAAATTTTATTTTATATTATATTATATTTTATATTTTATGCACTATCACTAGTAAGATGGATTGTTTAGTTTGTAGCTATTTGATTTTTTTTTTAGATTTTATGCAGTATGACTACTAAGATGTAAACATTTTATTTAATTATAGTAATATCTTAAATCATTGTCAAAATAAATTCTATAATTTCAAATTTAGAGTTTTTTGCTTTCTAAAAAAAAACATAAAATTTGAAATTTTGAAGAATGAAACTCTATATTTGAAGTTTCAATACTCTAACTCTAAATTTGAAGTTTCAATATTCAAAACTCTAAATTTGAAGTTTCATCTTTTAATTGTATTTTGGTCCTCACAATTACAACTAAAATTTATAATTCATAATTATTATTTTATTTATCGTTTTAATCCTTAAATTGTTTTATATCTCATAAATATATCAAATTGACTTTTACTTTTTTTTATAAATTTAAGTTTTAGACATAAAATTAAATAAAATTTGTAATCATGTATTTGTATTTATAATTTTAAATTTAAATGTAAGACTTATTAATTAATATTGTTGTATAATTTATATATATATATATGTGTGTTTGTTTTTAATCAATGTTTTATGAATTTATATTAATTATGATAAATATAAAGATTAAAATATAAAATATAAATAATTTTGAAGTGCAGTTTAAAGTTTTATTTTTAGAGAATAATAGTTTAAAACTTCAAATATAGAGTTTTAGAAACTTAAAAATAGAAAATATTTTTAGAGATCTGTTTAGGCTGCACGAAAAGAAAAAAGACATTACTTGAGAGGTCTAAAATTTTTAAAGCTTTCTCCGTAAGCTATTAATGTTCTCTTCTGATTTTCGTACTAAAGAAGCTTCGCATCTCCAAACGTCGACGGTCATGTCATGTGTACGACCGACTATTCAATTATACAAACAAAATATAATTAATTAAAACATCTTTTTCTATATTTAACTCCGTAAAACATCTTTGATGGATGGATGTAAATGTAATATAGCCATTCTCAAGATTTATAAATCTTCTCAGAATTTTATTTGAAGTAAGAAATTCATACACCAAGAATGAATATATATATATCACTTTTGGTGAGGAATCTGCTGTCAAGGAACAAATAAATGAGAATTTTGGGTATCGGTTACTTGCTAAACACGAGAGTTTGTTCTGTGCTTGAAGATATGCTCTTATTTTTGCTACATCAGGTAGGTCCAGCACATATAAAATAAAATATACATACAAGC